TGTCCATTGCACCCCCCAGAGGGAATTCACTTCTAATCGTGTCTTTACAGTACATTGACTCAGCACGTAACTTAATCATGTGAAGTGTTTTATTCACCCTCAGTGTAAACACAACATCAGAGGTCAGCTGATGAAAAAGAACGCGAAAAATACAAAAGATTGTTGTTGTGTGAGTAAATTCTGTGCCAATTTCAGACTCAGGCAGGATCATTTCTGAATGCAACCAATCTTCTAGTGTGAAAATATGGTTAAAACAAGAGTGATTAGTTATGATGCTAATATTTGCTCAATCATGCTTTGTGCCAAAGTGAGAAAAATCCAGTCTAAAACTGTACAAAGCTGAGCACCTCCCCAAAAATGGCTGCACAGATGGAATATTAAACGGTCAAGTTCACCAAAATTACTAAAAAGCATATCTTTGCACGCACTTTCACACAAAGTGATGTCTAGTATGGGGTCCTTAACGTTCCGAAAGGAGATAGTTTTTATTTTGTAAGTTAATAATCTTGTCCCCACAAAACAATAACTTGTTCCAAAAAGATAATAACTTGTGAGCACAAGATAAGAGTTACTTCCTTGTGCGCAAAAGATAATAGGCCAACATGTTTCTACAAGATAATAACTTGTTCCAACAAGATAATTAGCTTGTGCACACAAATAAAAAAAACACCTTTTGGGACTTTAGGGGCTTCGTAGATATGGCTGGTTTCAATTTGTCCAGGCTTTGAGATATTGGAGTTTCAACACATTTCAAAAGCAACAGCTCGAAAACACTTTCAAAAAAGTGAGTCCCCATAGAAACCAGTCAATTGTTTCTTGTTTCAATTAAATCTGTCTGGAGTTTTAAACAGAAATGGAGACGTCCTTCTGGAAAGAGAAGTTACTGTTGTCCATTGTGATGGAGGCAGATATCTCAAAATCTTAGCAGATAACAAATATGTTATATATTGATAGGTGTAATGTCCCATTAGTAACAGTTAGGACTGTCTTGCAAGAATTTCAGGATAATTTTATTCTTCCTCCTTCTATTCTTTAATTCCCTCAACAGAAAAGTGAATTTCAGCAACACCATCAAGATGAAACATTTCTTAGTGCTACTTTCTAATATGGCATACATAAACAAATGGTTTTAGGAAATACTTATACATTGTTATTCATGCTTTATAGATCAGTAATGATAATTTAAGGACAGGTGGAGCAGTCCACTGTCTATTGAGTTCCTATATATGATAAAATACTGATTTATAAAGCATTGAGCCATAATAAAGCCATCATTCACAACATAAAAAGGCAGTATAAAGTATACCCTACTAATAAAACTGACATGTCACATAGCCTTCCCAAAGATATCCCCAAAAAAGATTTATGCACTTTTTGTTTTAACTAGGATTTCCTTTATCACAAAGTTATCTCGGGCAGAGCCAGAAAACCACTTCAATCTCAAGTGCTGAGAAATTAGCAAGTATTTCAGAGTCCGCAGAGCGCAGAGTGCTCGGAGCTAAAAATATTTCAACTTTCAGCGAAGCAGCGCCGCACTTCAAAAGGACTTTCAGTGTAGTCTCATAGCAACAGCCGGAGCTGCAACCAGCACACATTTCCCAAATGAACCAGTTCAGCTGAACTTAACTCCCGTTTCTCACTGCAACTGTGAAACAAATAGTTACCCTTTTGGTGCCTAAAATGCTTTCATAACAGAATATTCCTGTGCAGGAAGCATTAAGCTGCCAAATGGATGACGTTTATTTTGATTTCATCCATTTAAGTCTGATTTAAATGTCTTAGGTCTCCTTTCTCTTAAAGAGGAGAGAAATCTCAGACTTTGCTTCGTTGAAATGGGGTAGAATAATGTTTATATGGAACGCCAAATCAAAATGAATAAAAATCAAAGACAAATTCTGCTAAGATTAAAAACAACTTATTTTCTGTTAAATAAAATGCAAAGTGGTGAAGATATAATGATATGGGTAGTCAAAACAGATTTTAGAAAGCCCCAGGTTGAACAAAATATATATAGTTTTAGGGAAATGTCACTTCTTCGACCTTCAGTGATTGGGTCATCCATCGTTTAGATGTGTTAGATACGTCTAGGAATTATTTTTAAGTGAACAAGTGGATATACGCATTTATACATAACACTGGTACAGTATATAATTCTTTATATACTAAAATACCAAAAATACCAAACACTTTGTTTCCTTATGTTGTGTCACTGGTATGTCATGCCATCTCTGAGTGCCCTGAAGTGTACTGAATAAGTTGTTTTTTTAGAGCAACACACACACACACATACACACAGAGCTCCATAATCTCAAATCTTAATACAACCAAGTAAAACATATCAACAAAAAAAGGTTTCAGAAAAAAGACAAATTACAATCATTCTGTACATGACGAGGCTGCTGTACAAAAGAGTTCACCCTGTTTGTGTGCACTGTACACTCCATTGCTTTAACGATACAGTAAACAGACAAATTGCTCGCCTCAACATATAAAAGTGAAAAAAAGAGAAGCATCCATCTCTGCTGATGCGAGAGATATTCAAAAGCAGATAAATCGATACAGCCGTCATTAACTAGAACCCTGCAGCGCCCGCCCACTCCTGACCCGTCACTGACCCATTACTCACACACACAAACACACACCATCGCACTGTTGAGCCCATGTCCACCGGTTTTCTAAATTAAGGAACGTATTAAGATGAAGGGAGTCGATGGTGTGTGGGCTGCTGGTGAAGGCCTGGTCAAAGCTGGAGAGTCCGTCTTTGGAGGACGATAGTGGTCTGCAGGTGAAGGTGAAACGTAGATGAGCAGTAAACAAATGGTGACACACTGAGCATCCGTGGGAAAACACACAAATGGATGCATTGTAAAGAAAAACTTAAAACAAAAATGTTGCCTTGAATGTCCAATAGTCCATTACGTAAAAAAAAACTAACTATAGGCTTATGGGCTCTCTTGCCAAGAGTTAGATGAGATCAATACCACTCTCATGTACAGCAGAGGCAGGAGGCAGTTAGCTTTGATTATTTTAGCATAAAGCCTGGAAGCACAGGGAAACCGCTAACCATGCAAAAGTACATTTACTTCAGAAGCTCAAGAATTACTGAAACATTTTATCTCTTTAAAAAAATCCTTAAAAAAGCTCACAAATGACTGTAACATGTTAAATCTTGTTTGTTTAACCCATACAAAAATGTTTAAAGGGAAATTTCGGTTTATTTCAACCCATCTCCTATCGTCCTAAATTTGTTTCAAGTGACTAGTGACATAGAAATAATAGTTAGCATGTTAGCCGTTAGCCTAGATACAGCTGTAGCGTCAGACCTGTTAAAACTTAAGTGAACGGGCATCCTTTCAAGTGCAAAGTTAGTCCACTAAACAAGCTTTTTCTCCACAAAGACCGCCCCATATCGTTAGGATAAATGTCAGAGAACATATAGAAAACGACATGTAAACGTGTTGTCTTACCTTACCAGTGTGTATTTATTTGAGCCAGAATACACTGACGAAGAGCTTCGTGAAACTGAAGAATGGAGGAGGAGAGAGAGAGAGGTGCAACAGGTAGAGGACGACAGAGGAGGAATGGCTGCTGGAAGGCTTTAGCTCTGGAGATTGGTGGTGTAACGTTACCTGTGAATGCTGTGCCCCAATGCCCACAGAAGAGGAATACCTCTGTTGCAAGGAATGGGACCGGTTGCAGCCTTAGCTAAATGGTTAACAACAAACATGGCACCACACCGGTAAGGTAAGACAACACGTTTACATGTCGTTTTCTATATGTTCTCTGACATTTATCCCAATGATATGAGGCGGTCTTTGTGGAGAAAAAGCTTGTTTAGTGGACTAACTTTGCACTTGAAAGGATGCCCGTTCAATTATGTTTTAACAGGTGTGACGCTACGGCTGTATCTAGGCTAACAGCTAACATGCTAACTATTATTTCTATGTCACTAGTGACTTGAAACAAATTTAGGACGATAGGAGACGGTTGAAATAAACCAAAATTTCCCTTTAAACTGTGGTTACGTCCTGTAAGCTAACTAAGGGCCTGTGTCCAAAGAGCGTTTTTTTTTTCTCAGCACTGCCGTCTTTTTTCAGTTGTCCTCTTTTTTATGCAACCGCCCCCTGCGCTCTGAGTTGCCACTTCTTTAGCTATGCTGAGGTCTACAGTCACAACAAAGACAAAAAGGCTCATTATTTTGGGAGTGGACTGGCCTGCAGACACTGGATGTTGCTGGTGAGTGTTGTGCTTTCCAGTTCGCTTTGTAGGCTTGTTTTTAACTGTGTGGTCGACCCTCCGTTAATGTAGCGTTGTGTTAGCTACCGAGCTAACATTGGTGTCAAGATTGTTGTCACAGAAACATACCCATACACAGTGCGTCATTTTAAAAAAGCACTGGTAGCAGGAATTTATGAGGCGCTGGGATGAAGCACTCCCCAGTACCCTGCCAACAATTTTCTGCTGAGGAAAAATGCTATATGGACACAGGCCCTAACTCACGTAGCATGTAGCTCCCCATAAAACTGCAGGGAAACAGCTAGCCTAGCTCTCTTCAATGTTCAAAAACACACAAGCACCGCTAAAAGCTCACAAATTACTGGAACATGTTTTATCCTGTTTGTTTAAACTGTACAAAAATATTAGGGTGCTGTCACACCTAGAGTTCGCTTGCTTTGGTCCGAATCAGGGACTAATTTAATTACAAAGTTGCATAATTTTCTAGAGTTGGTTTGTGTTCTTACAGCAGCATTTACAAGCAGACCATATCTGCCTTGTGCAAGAAAGCTGCTCTTGATTGGTCAGAATTTCTGTGCGGGAAAAATACAGGAAGTAAACTAAGCGTTGAAGAAGAGTACACTTGCAAAATAATGCAACACTTTCTAATGTCACAATGGAGGGACAACTACGCAGGTTGATTTTAGCGCTGGTCATCGTGGACTATATTGTGGTCATTGTTCATTTTAGTCAAACCATACAGTTTGAAAACGAGGCACGGCCCCAACTAGAAAACAATATTTTGATGCATTGGATGTGCTGAATGTGCATTATAAGGCAGCATAGGAGGAGACTCACATTAATAATCCTCCAGGACTGTAACATGCTCATGCTGTTTAACCCAAACAAAGCGTTATGTGTGTGCAGTTGGTTCGGATCGAGGTTGGAACACGTTCTCACCACAAATGAACCGCACTAGAGTTCGGTTGTGACAGAACCAAGACCACCTCTTCAAGAAGGTCTCGGTCTGGTTGTTTTGGCATGCACCCAAGCGTGATTGCTGTGTTCATACCTGTCCAAATGAACCTCAGCTAGGGGGTAAATGAACTTAAGTTCAATTGACCATTGTACAAATTAAACAAACAAGATTTAACATGTTACTGTAACTGTTTTGATTTAGAGGTTCAAATTAAGTGTCAAGATTTTAAACATAGGAGAAAGCCAGGCTAGCTGTTTGTCCCTGTTTCCATCTTACACTTGGCTAGGCTAACTGCATCCTTGCCCTGGAGCTGCACATAACACAAAGACATGAGATTGGTATTGATCTTTTTATAGCTTACTTTAAGACAGAATTCAAATAAACTTCTTTCCCTAAATATGAAATATGTCTTTAAAAAGAAAAAAAAGTTCTATTCATAGTATTTTGAGCAATTTCTTTGTTTATCACATAGCCTGCATATTTTTGGCAACAAGCATCCTAAAAGAGGGCTGTACAACATTTTCCCACCATTTTCAATATAGGATGGCAACTAGTGATTATTTTATTTACCAATTAATCAATTATTTCTTTAATCATTCTTTTTGTAAAGGATTTCTTTTTGAAAAAGCAACCATCCAAAGCTGGCAAACAGTCCCAAGAACCCAATGCTATAGAATTTACAATGATATAAACATAAAAAATCCTTCAAAACAAGCTGAAAACAATAAATCTTTGTCTTTTTTCTGCTTGACAAATATGAAACAGTAATTTATTAACCAACCAATCTCTCCATGCCTGACCATTTCAGCACTAACTGAAACTGAAGACTAAATAGAGCAACTCTCTACTACCCATGTATTTGGTTTGGGCTTGTAACAAGATGGCATGAATTAAGAATATAATCCATGTTTTGTCCTTTGTTGACAACAATCCCTTTACTAACTACATTGAGCCATCACAGCAACAGTTTGTTCTGAGCAGGAACAGGTTGTATGAAAGGGAAAAAAAGAAAAGCTGTCTTGATTTTGAGTTTCCCAGATGATTCAGATGGGGCCAGACGTGGATCCTGCACAATTAATTCCTGCAGCATCAGAGAACGGAGAGCAGCCAAGTCCTAACTCTTTGTACTGCCGCACCAGCTGGAGACACCGCACTTGGAACCTACACTCAGCTTAACAACACTATGATAACTGATGTACTTCTACAAACCACAGACTGACGGGCAATCCAACGGCTCTGAGTAAGAGTGAGTGTCAGATCGGCCCCTCGCCAAAAGCATATCAGCTGGCCAAAAACCAATCAGCTGGCCAAAAACATTTCTGGAGTAACTCCCAAAGCGGTCTTTCAGAGAAAATGGAAGGACAGGAAAGGACAGGAGTTTAAGGGCCAGCAAGAGGAAATTAAAGGTTTGTATCTATATTTCCATTTTAATTTCAGTCTCCCAAATAAAAAAAGGGACACAATGGCAGACAGTTTGTGGATCTCCTCCCTGCCCTCCTCTTCTTCACCTGTTTCTCCCTACATTGCTCTGTAGTTTCCTTGGATGCCCATGATGTGAGTTTAGTCCCCTCTCCTCAGCAGAGTCCCGCCCTGAGGAGAGGCAGAGCTGGTGGGGGAATCCAGGGGGAGTCCGCAGCAGTCCGAGCAGCCTCCCCCCACCCTCAGCCGCAGGAAATGACAGTGAAGCGTTTGGAGATGCAGGACATGTTGTGCAGCACGATGCCCAGGAGGAAGAGCAGCACGCAAGCCACCAGGATCACCGTGCACACACCGGACCATGTAGAGCCCTTTCCTCCTCCTCCCACTGGGCCAGTAACTCTTCTCTCGCCCTCCCCTCCCTCCAGCCCAACCCCCACACCCTCCAGACCCATAGCCAGGCCCAGAGGCTGCTGCTCGGGCACGGTCACCACTGTCACCCCCTTCTGCTGGCTGCCCGGCAGGAAACGACATCCCAGCTCCCCCGGCAGGCCCAGCGCCCGCTCCTTGGCAACAGGCAGTGGCAGCATGTAGCAGCCATTGCTGGGGAGGCGGATGAAGACAGGCGTGTGCTCAGAGGCGTGAGGGATGGCGATGACAGTGATGATGTCCGGATCGTCCGGGAGCTGGGAGACAGACAGGCCTGGCGGGAGCTTGGTGACGCCACGGCACCATGGACAACGAATCTCCTTCTGGCTGCTGCGCATCTGGGTCAAACACACTGAGCAGCACGTGTGTCGGCAGTCCAGGAGTTTGGGCCGCCGGCGAGGGCTGTAGTAGTTGAAGCAGATCTGGCACTCCAGAATGGAATCTTGGGAAAGAGTCTCCATTTCGTTAAGATGGGCCGGTGGTCCCTTATTATATTCACTGGCAGATAACAGCTATTTCTTTTGGACGAGGTAAGCCAAACAGGTCTGGTAGAAAGGTTGCACAAATCCAAGTTAAGAAAGCACAACGTCCACCACCATCCACGACTTCACAGTGATGTCACAGCTCTTTGGTGGCAACATGGTCATCCATCTGCAACAGAAGAGAAGAGAAACCAGTAATGAGACACTGAGGACAGCAACAATAAAAACTATGAAAGAAAAAGCAAGTACTTTTGGTACTTAAATATGCTAGAAAAGGCAACAAAAACTGTCTGTGGAAATTCGGTTTTCTTACTTTAAGTACTTTAAGAAGTAGATGGTATTATTGTTAGGGCTTAAGTTTAGGGCTTTTAAGTCGAAGATTAAAATCGTCAGTGCAGTGCACTTTTGGGGATGTATCGGTCCCCAGATTTAGCTGCTAAGCCCATCAATTTCAGCTACGGTCCCAGACCCAGGCCCAGGGTGAGCCTGAACAAGACGTAGGCAGTTGTCTAGAAGAAGAGAGACTTGCCCTATTGTGCTCTGAGACAACGTTATCTTCTGCCTTGTGCTACGAAGTGGTGAATTTACAGCTCACATTGACCTAATACTTTACAGTCTCTGGCTTTTGTCGGCAAAAAATATTGCCCAATCCGTCTTTACTGTAGCACGCATTAGCTTGGAGGGCTAGCTTGGCTTGTTTACTATATTACATGAACATCACTGTCACACTGAACGTCCCACCAACACACACACATACATTATGCGGGCGTATTAGTCAGGACTAACATGCATAGCGCACTTTTGAGTCAAAACTTTTTTATTTACTGCAACTGACTTCTGGAACTAAATATCAGTTAATGTATCACTTTCATTGGTTCCACATTATGGGTATCAGTATAGGCCCCATGAAACATCACAAAAATCATCACAGTGTGTTTGCTCTCTGCACTTATCTACATTATTTCTTTCCAACCCTACAATCATAATCCTCACCACTACTCTATATGCATAACCTTAATCCACCACCCCAGAGCTACATTTCCTGTTTTATCCTTATAAACCAACCCCCCAAAAACTGTCCTCACTCTGACGGTGTAAAACTCAAACTCTGACAGACAAAAAAAAAAAAAAAAAAACAAGTACAGAAACACTCTCCAAAGAAAAATGCTTGCTCAAACTAAAGGCAGTTGCACTCCAAGTCTGTATTTTTCATTCAAAATAGTTGGGGTTTTAAAAATATATATTACAATCGTACGTAGGAACGGGGTGCATAGTATCGTTTAATAACTCAAGATAGCAGGTCAGCTAGTTAATCAGGTGGAAAATGATGACAAAGAGGAGGATGAGGACAGCAAACACAGAGAGAGCGACAGTGTGGAGACAGAGAGGAAGGACAGCTCATTCCCTTCAGGTAGCTGTGGTGCCAAATGCAACAAATAGAATAATTAAACGCATCATACAAAACTAGAATGACCGCCTCGCAGTTGTATGCCTAAGCACCAGTCAAGGTGCAGTTAGTTTACATCCATGTCTGTAAAACCATGGGTGCTCCACACACATCTTCCCATGGAAGAGCTATACAACCAGCAGTTTCAAGGTGGACACCCAAGATTAGAGTTGCCAAATGTAACCTCTACTGTTGCTCAGTTATGATGTTGAATAATTGCCAGAAAAGTGTTTATTCAGAACACTGTGATGAGCTTTTGGATATAAAATGTCATCACTATATTGTTAGATCCTATTAGACACTTTTTGTGAATTTTTTGTCATATTTAGCATGCATGAATTCTTGAGTTCTGGTCAAAAACATGTTTTGTGAAGTCACAGTGACCTCGACCTTTGACAATTACCTACTAAATTGTTATCACCTCATTGCTGAGTCCAAGTGGATGTTTGTGCCAAATTTGTGGAAATTTCCTTAAGGTGTTCCTGAGATATCTCTTTTCCAAAGTGAGATGGATGCAAGATCACAGTGACCTTGACCTTTAACCACCAAATTCTAATCAACTAAATATTAAGTCTGTGTGGAGACTTGTGCCAAATTTGAAGAAATCCCATCAAGGGGTTTTTGAAATATTGCAGTCACGAGAATGGGATGGACGGACAGACATACATCAGTTCAAAACAGCTGCTAAAAAGCTTCCTCCCAGCATTTGAAAATATCAAGCCAACAATGAGCAGAATGCATGGTTTGTATTTAAAGAGCAAGCACTGCAGTTGTTTAACACTTGTAAATGATGCTGAACATTTTTACAGACTACTGAACTCACAGCACGGAGTTAAGGTACAGACCTGACTGAGGGGGTGCAGCTGTCAAACGATGCATCACGAACGGCAGACTTAACATCATGTACAGCAGACATTGTACATATCAGCTGGCAGCTGGCTTCAATAAGGGCGAGTTCATGAGACCCTTGGCCTCAGTATCTGTGTTAAGTATGGCTAATTCTTTTAACTGTCTCCTTCAGGCCACAGACTCCACAAACAATTTCTTCCTCCTCCTCCTCCTCCTCTTGCATAATCATGTCTACCGTGTTAATCCATGCGGAAGCCGTGATAGTTTTCTTTTACAGATGATTAAACCCTGTCAAAATAGCACCAAGGAAACAATGAATACCAAACAGGCCCTGCCGACTTTTCCTTTTATTTTTCGTCCAAATTGTCAAGTGTGAAAACTGCTGAGGAGGGAAGATGACTAGATTTTTCTCTCTTTCTCTTTGCTGCCATCTCAACAGAGCCGGTGTCCCTCCGGGCACGACTGTGGGTAGACAGCAAGAGTGAAGAGTGAGACAGATGGAGGGTGAGAGATGGAGAGAAAAGTGGTGCTAGAAACAGAAAAAGGTGACCACTGATTGCCCCGCAACACCGTACATCTCAGTCCTTTATCAAAAACAAGATCTCAGGCAATTAAACTTGTCATGGCGCCCTGTGGGGACACAGACATGGCAATGACAGATAAGAGTGTACTCACACCAGGCATGCTTGGAGCCATTTATTCAGTCTGGAGTCCTTTAGTTTGGTTCATTTGGACAAGACAGAATGATCACATTCGACCTTGGGCGGTGGTAAAAAACTGCAACAAGACAAGGATTTGATTTTTGAGCATTTTTTTGGAACTGAAATCCCACATAGAATCGGCTTATCAAAACCTGAATCCTTTTGAGAGCTTTTCATTGATTTATCCATCAATATCTAGGGCCAGGGCATTATTGCAGTAGACTAAACAAGGTAGCCAAGATGCCCTTGTCTGTAGCCGCGTCCTTCAGCTCTCCCTGCGGATCCTCAGGCACTGCCAGGCCGTGTAATGTAAAATCCCTCCAGTGTGTAAGGGGTCTGCCCTGGGGTTTTCTCCAAGTTATCCTGACCAAAATACATCCTTAGTAGGCATCTAAACTATTTCGAAGCCACCGTTATTTGTATTTAGGTTTAGCTCTAAGGATGCACCTATCTGACCCTCTGGATACCAGATACCTTCTTCAGTGGGTCTAGTTCTGTCAGGTGTGATCAATCATAAAAATACAGTTTGGTAAGTTTGGATTCACTGTTTCTGCTATCAGTTAAAACATCCACCAAGTCAGGATGAGCTGCCAGGCCAGTTTTAGAACTTAGATTTATGTAAAAATGATCCCAATGAGTTCCAAGAAGTTTGGTAGAGAGATTTCGAATTTTGGAAGAAAAGACAGCACTGGTATCGAGTCTGTAATTGGTATTCCTGAGGTGAGTATCTGTATCGAGACAGAAAACAGATGACTGTAGCAGACTATAAGTCTGGTAGGGTTTCAGTTATCTTTAAAAGGAACACAATGAGCAAAAATAGTTTTTCTGTTGAGAGTTGGATCTTTCGTTACATACATCTCCTCAATATTACATGATCACATTAATTAGCCCCTCCAGGATGTTGTGATGTTGAAATTGCAAATAAAAGAGCAAATTCAACCAATCCCCTTGAATTCTGTGCAACATTGCAATTTTGTTCAACCACATCAGCTTTTATGCCAATCTGACCCATCACAGCACTCCCCCACATGACATCACTGAACTCACTTCCTTGTTTTTGGTCATGAAGATACAGACGTGCAACACAAACCACTCACATTTGCTAACAAAAATTACTGCTGAAGACCGCACAAGGAAAGTCCCTGACATTCTGCACAAAAGCAAGGGTAAGCTGTTACACTGCGTCCAACATTGTGGTCCACACAAATGAGAGTTATCGACAAACAAACTTTTTTACAGCAAAACAGACCCAGAAGAATGGCTGAAACGTGTTGACAACAGGCAAATTACCTCAACAAAAACTATTGCATCTAGATCTATTGCACATGCTGGAAGAATGAAGGCGAGGTTAATGGGAACGTTAATGTAGTGTAACTCACAAAGTCAAAACAGTGAGTTTCTATTCACACTGGAACAAAATGCCTTTGATTTTTTAACAAATTATACACAAAAAAATCAAACTATTTTTGCAAATTTCACTTCACTTCAATTTTCACCCCACCTAAAAACATTGTGCATCACAGTATTTTAGAAAAGCTGCCATGTAGCAGGCATTTTAGGCTACATCAATCCCAAGAAGTCCTGAAGGAAGTGATTAACATTAACACTAGTCCATACTCATTGGTAGCTTTGTTACCTTCTACCTATGCCAATCCTCAATGCCTATGTGCAGTTTCACATAGATCGACCACGTCAGTGAGTAGAAAAACATGGGACAGACAGAATGACTGACTGACAGAATGACACACTGACAGTTTCCGTGATTATGTACAGCATACCATACCAGACTAGACTTAGTCATACCACAGGGGGAGCCACAGCGATCGGTCGCATTTTAGCCATTTTTAAGCATTTTTCTGTTGTTATAGCGCCACCCAGTTGCCAATTAGAGTTAAACTTTAGATATTGGTCCCTAGGTTATGTTCATGCAGATCGGTCAAACTTCCTAGGAAGAGATCGATTTTAAGTGTTTTTCAAAAAATTCAAAATGGCAGAAAATCTGTATCACCGGAATCTATGTTCTTGAGGCAAATTTGTTCCTCATGAGGAGAGGCATCTCTGTGCAAAGTTTCATGTCTCTACGACATATGGGACATGAGATATGCCCATTCAAAGTTTGCAATTTCAATCAGCTGCTATATAACTGTGCCAAATTTCACATGGATTGACCAA